GTGGGTGTATCAGTGGTGTGTGTGTGTGTCTGTATCAGTGATGTGTGTGTGTGTGTGTGTGTGTGTGTATCAGTGATGTGTGTGTGTGTGTGTGTGTATATGTATCAGTGATGTGTATGTGTGAGTGAGTGAGTGTGTATGTGTGTGAGTGTATCAGTGATGTGTGAGTGAGTGAGTGAGTGAGTGAGTGTGTGTGTGTGTGTGTGTGTGTGTGTGTGAGTATCAGTGATGTGTGTGTGTGTGTGTGTGTATATGTATCAGTGATGTGTATGTGTGAGTGAGTGAGTGAGTGAGTGAGTGTGTGTGTGTGTGTGTGTGTGTGTGTGTGAGTATCAGTGATGTGTGTGTGTGTGTGTGTGTATATGTATCAGTGATGTGTATGTGTGAGTGAGTGAGTGAGTGAGTGAGTGTGTGTGTGTGTGTGTGTGTGTGTGTGTGAGTATCAGTGATGTGTGTGTGTGTGTGTGTGTATATGTATCAGTGATGTGTATGTGTGAGTGAGTGAGTGAGTGAGTGAGTGTGTGTGTGTGTGTGTGTGTGTGTGTGTGAGTATCAGTGATGTGTGTGTGTGTGTGTGTGTATATGTATCAGTGATGTGTATGTGTGAGTGAGTGAGTGAGTGAGTGAGTGTGTGTGTGTGTGTGTGTGTGTGTGTGTGAGTATCAGTGATGTGTGTGTGTGTGTGTGTGTATATGTATCAGTGATGTGTATGTGTGAGTGAGTGAGTGAGTGAGTGAGTGTGTGTGTGTGTGTGTGTGTGTGTGTGTGAGTATCAGTGATGTGTGTGTGTGTGTGTGTGTATATGTATCAGTGATGTGTATGTGTGAGTGAGTGAGTGAGTGAGTGAGTGTGTGTGTGTGTGTGTGTGTGTGTGTGTGAGTATCAGTGATGTGTGTGTGTGTGTGTGTGTATATGTATCAGTGATGTGTATGTGTGAGTGAGTGAGTGAGTGAGTGAGTGTGTGTGTGTGTGTGTGTGTGTGTGTGTGAGTATCAGTGATGTGTGTGTGTGTGTGTGTGTATATGTATCAGTGATGTGTATGTGTGAGTGAGTGAGTGAGTGAGTGAGTGTGTGTGTGTGTGTTTGTGTGAGTGTGTGAGTATCAGTGGTGTGTGTGTGTGTGTGTATCAGTGATGTGTGTGTGTGTCTGTGTCAGTGATGTGTGTGTGTGTAAGTTACTAAAGCTGAATCTGACAGATGCAGAGACGGTGTGAGGATGAGGAGACGTCACTCGTATCTCACTGCTCTCATATGGAGGCTGTATAGAGATGAAGATCGAGTCCAGCCTGAAGAATGCAGTTTTTAGTGATGTGAGCTAAAGAAACACGATACCATCGTTGTCAGATTTTATTGCTGTTTTGATGAACGGGTTTGGATTTGGGTTTCTCTCTGTTCAGTGTGACTGAGCTGTTATGAGGAGTTAAGATCACTGCAAAGTGAACTGACCAGCCTTAAAGAGACTTTGACATCTGGACTGTGGTCTCCATTGGGAAAAGAAAAAAACGGTTCATAATTCAACAATAATGTTATTTTTGAATTGATTATAAGAATGCAACGCGTTTGTCTTGTAGGTTTAGGGTTAGTCATTATAAATGCCTTTATTCAGTGTGCATCACTGTCGTCTTTTAACTGAAGTAAGCTGGTGGAATAAAGTGATTTACGCACACATCAGCAGAACATGAAGCATGCCGCTGGTGATGATCCGCTCCGATCTAAAGGGAGCGACTGCACTGACAAACTGCCAATATAAGGTGGAAATTGTGTTATTCTGTGTATAGTTTTCTTCTTGCGTTCCCTGATTCTGTTCTACATAGATGATTAGAAATGACCTCCTTGACCTCTTTATCGTCTCTCTGTTACTTCACTGATTTATTATTTATGATGCATTACTGTATTACAGCTATGAGGACGGCAGACGGATCACAGGGAATAATGGAGGAGCTGGTATAGATGATATAGACACGTGTTTGTAATGGTGCCACAGTCTGTCATGAGACCTGGAAGGAGGCGTGAAACCCTGCCGCGATGCTTATTTAATGCACATTTGCGTTTCCAATGACGGCTCTGGGTTCAGCGCATGCATGCACTCAAATCCTGTCTGGAGAAAGAAACACAATCCTCTGAGGACAGCTTTCACTGGCAGCTTCAACAGTATAGATTGCTGTCTTTCTCACTGCCTTTTTCCTGTTTTTCTATTTCCTCTCTGTTTGTGGTGTTGAATAATTCATTGATGACGCTCTGTTTGGCCGACTGATGACGGAAGTGCAATTCCTCTGTAGTAAAGACTGTAAAACCCTCATTTATAACTCATATATATGCCAGTGATCAGAAAAGGATGATATTCCATAAACACCTCACCACACTCGCATATTCAGAGAGGAACAGGTCAAATATTTTAGATGTGAATAATTAGTTTCCACCTGAGTTTTCTGTCTTTATGTTTACTGCTTCTGTCAAAGAGATACATCTGTCTGATCATATTTAATATGCATATGTATCTGTACCATTGCATATTAAGTGCTGAAAAACTTTTTGCCTCAAAGTAGTTTTTACAGAATATTAAACAACTGATCGCTCCGACTCTAACATAAAACATGCCATCGCAGCGGTGTTCATCGGCATCAGAATTGAATGTGCCGTGTTGCTGTGAAATCACCAACAGCCTACACTAATGAACAATATGATTTGCTGGGAGAATTGATTATTATCATTAAGGAATTTAACTATTTATAGAGCTGCCTTTCATTATATTGCTGTTTCTGCATCTAGTACTAAAATCACTGAAATACTTCACATCTTGTGGTTTATTGCTTTATTGTAAAGTTTATGAAAGAGTCAAGCCCATGTATTAGATGGCTTCACTGCTCCCAAAATGCATTTAGGAATTTTATATAATAACAAAATAAATGTTAGTCAAGTCTGCTTTATTGTCAATTCTTCCACATGTACAGCACATACACACAGAGAATTGAAATTGCGTTACTCTCAGACCCTTGGTGCATACAGATAACACTAACAGTAGAGTTAGTGTTAGCATGTTACATTTGAAAATAAATTTCATTGATAAACAAAAGTAATTAAGAGCAGCCATGTAGTCTGTTTGTTGGCCATGTGTTCAGTTAGTCTCTTTTGTTTTTATTAAATTGACTGAAGTCAAGCCTGAAGGAGTCCAAAGATCCCAGAGTGTTTCTGTACGCGTGATTCACACGAGCCATGATCCAAGGGCAAAGAGTGTGTGTGTGTGCGCTGTTTATGGATGATTAGATTAACACACACACCCTTAACTAACAAATATAAGATTTATGATACCTTTGTGAATTCGAGGAGAATTTTCAGCAAGGTCCAGGAATTTACTCAAATATTTAAGGAAGTTTCATTACTTGAAACATTATGCCTTAATTACATAATTTTATTCTCGTAACAGTATGATTCTATTCTCAGAATCTGATTTGAATGTGTCACTAACACATGCGAGTGAAAGTATGCTCCTGCTCTCCAGAAGCGTCTGAGGTCTTTCTTCATCTCCCGCTGCCGTTCTCTCGCACACACTGCTCTTGGCCAGCGAGAATGACTGCAGACAAGCACAGCTTTGTTCATTCATGAGCTCAGACGCTTCACCAGCTCAAGTCCAGCACTCAATGGGCCTCATGCATGAAACTCCAGCACAATCAATGCTTTTCTGTGAAAATCACACATTAATCCATTCACAAGTAAACTGTTACACCACATTTACTACAACAATTTATACTACACAGAAATGTAAGTGTGCTTGTGTTTAATGAATGAGGCTCATATGCGCAACTATATGCAGTTTATTTGTGTCCTTGACATATCAGTGACAGATATTAATTGTTTATAAATGGATCCCGTCACAGTGAGTTGATATGGAGGAAGAACTGCAGGATAGAAAGTGTTGTTCTTAAACAGCAGAAGAACTATCAGGAGTCAGATGTGGTAAAGCGTGGTAAAGTATGTGCTGCTCCTGTCTGTGAAGATCATCTGTCGCTCTGAAGAACCACAGCGTGTTTAGATCGGTTATGTAGTCACGTATGTAAACCCATTACGTCACAGTTTGATCTGATGGCTGTGGAAACGCGGGCTGTTTGTGAGTCGAGAACAGGCTCACTTTCACCTGCGTACGTTTTCAGTGCATTGAAAACAAACTTTAAGCGCTAACACCATGTGTGAATTGGGTTACATTGCTCTGTTAAAATGTAAAGCATGTTTAAGAGTAGTTACACTGATTTACTGACACATAGCGTCGTGGCTTATATTAATGGTAAATTACATGGACATTATTTTATGTTTGACTGTAATTAGATTTAGCACATTTACAGAAACTGGATTAGGGTTAGGGTCCTTATCCTAAAAACAAGATACATTTACTGGATAATTTGTTTTCAGAGAATATATCGTGACATTTATTTTTGTCCCGCCCACTGGCAAATAGTTTGTCAAGTTTTAAAGAAACATTCTGTGGAAAAAGTTCTGATCAAGGAAATCAAGTTTTGCGCTGTACATCAGTAAAACTCAACCGGTTTAACTGTAAGGAGGTGAGGAAACTTCAAAAATAACCAGAAATGCATGATACAGTCCATCTAAAAGTCAGGGTGAGATTAAGTGATTAATTTCTGTATCAACATTCTGCGACAGAATGTCAAGTTATGTCCATGTATGCTTCAGAATATGACAGTCAGGCATTAATGTCATTCTTAGGTGAATGTGCTTTTCTTTACGGCATGTTCTAGATTGATCTGTATGCGCAAAGCGACCTGAAGAAAGGCCTGCAGCTCTTCGGGACTGAAGGAAACATCGGCCTGACCAACGCCTGGAGCATCGTCCAAACCGATGTACGCTTACTGCATTCCTTTCTGTAGTTATGATTATTTCCCAAGAACCAGCAGTGTAGCACTGTAAGATATGATTGAGTGTCTTGAAGGAAGGACACGTGAAGATGGTATGTGTGTGTGTGTGTGTGTGTGTGTGTGTGTGTGTGTGGATCTTAAATGATTCCTTCATATTAATTAAAGAAATCAAGTACGTGATCAATCAATTATGTTCATTTCCCATGAAGCAGGATGTGATAAAATAGAAAGAGGTTTGTTTTGGGTTCTGTATATGTTAAAAGCAGCAGATGTCCTCCAGGCAATGCAGAAATACAGTAACAAGAATCATCTGCAGCGGAAATAACTCACTCTCACTCTCATCCCC